GTCCATATGCACAAAGGCACAGATCCCTAAACAAGACCATATCTGCAGATGAAACTTTTTTTGTAGAAGCGTTTTTTAAAATTGAACTAGCACCAACTACACCACGTTATGTACAAGAAGCTGCAAAAGACACAGGCGCAAGTGGAATGTACAAAACATGGTGATATTATTTTTTTAAGTAAATATAATGGCCGATATATTGCATAACCAAAAATTATTGAGGTCATGTACATACAGTGGGTACGGAAAGTATTCAGACCCCCTTAAATTTTTCACTCTTTGTTATATTGCAGCCATTTGCTAAAATCATTTAAGTTACAAAAGGGTGCTTCTACTAAATACTGAGCAAAGGGTCTGAATACTTAGGACCATGTGATATTTCAGTTTTTATTTTTTAATAAATCTGCAAAAATGTCAACAATTCTGTGTTTTTCTGTCAATATGGGGTGCTGTGTGTACATTAATGAGGAAAAAAAATTAACTTAAATGATTTTAGCAAATGGCTGCAATATAACAAAGAGTGAAAAATTGAAGGGGGTCTGAATACTTTCCGTACCCACTGTATATTGCACGATAAGTCCATATATTCAGGCCTACTTTTCAGGATTCTTTGAGTAGAAAGTTCAAAAGCACAGCATTTATTTGAAATAGAAATAATTTGTAACATTATAAATGTCTTTACTATCACTTTTGATCAATTTAATGAGTCCTTGCTTAATAAAAACATTACTTTTAAAAAAAAAAATCTTACTGCCCCCCCCACACATTATATTAAACCAAGTAAAAAATAAACAAGGAATTTGCCTTGGTGCATATGCAAAACACTACAGACAGACACATGTAACACATTAAATTGAAAGACAAATGAAATTGAAACTCTTTGTTCAGAAAAGTGCAAGTAATGAGACCGTATTAATACAATTAATAGAAAATGTGTTGAAATGGTGTTTTTCACTAACCTGTCTTTTCACAGGATGTTGCATTGCTTGACAAGCTCATCAGAGACGATCGTGAATCAGGGAAGCTTCCATTGCTGTTGATAGCGAATGCTGGTCAGTTCGCTATTAGACCTTATTTATTCAAGCAGTATAGTTTTTGCAAGCATTTGTTGGTTGTCAGTTTTGCATGCAATCATTAAAATTCATTTAATCTCTCAGGAACGCCAGGTGCGGGTCACACAGACAAGCTCAGTCGTCTGAAAGAGCTCTGCGTTCAGTACAATATGTGGCTCCATGTGGAGGGGTTGGTATTAGCTGGTCCTGTTTCTGTAGAACCTCTTGATTTACTTTTATACATTTAAATAAACAGATTTGATGTTTATAGTTAATATTCATCATAGTTTCATCATACTTTCAGGGTGAATTTGGCAACGCTTGTTCTTGGTCAGGTCTCTTCTACTGTCACGGTATGTTCTGTTTTTTTTGGCACAAATATGCCCGCATTTGTTTCCTGTCGTAAAGTATGTGCTATTATTTTCTTCCTCTCTCTATCAAGGCGGCCACTAAGTGTGATAGTATGACTTTAACTCCAGGCCCGTGGTTGGGCCTGCCGGCTGTGCCTGCTGTCACCCTTTACAGACATGAGGATCCGGCCCTGGTAAATTGGACTGTTATTTTAAACACCAATCATCATTTTACAGCACGTCATATGGAAATGCAGTCCAAAGATATGACTGTACTATGTGCAAAAACCTGATGCTAATTATCCTCCCTGCCGGTTGGGGGCAGTCTCTCGCAGCAGGTCTGACCTCTAGCCAACCAGTGGAGAAGCTTCGGGCTTTGCCTCTCTGGCTGTCCCTTCAGTACCTTGGGCATGATGGGATTTTACAGAGGATTAAGCATGCCTCGCAGCTAGTGAGTACCCTGCCAACTTCATTTAGATAATCCGACGCACTGTACTTTAAACACAAGAATTACTCTGACCTTGTTGGGAATTGATCTGTTTCCCTGTAGAGTCAACAGCTGTTGGAGAATTTGAAGACACTGGCTTCAATAAAAACCTCGGTAGGTGAACTCGTCTTCATCCATTTAGCTGTATGTTGGTACAGAGTCTTTTAGTGTTACATCACAATCACCCAAAAAAAAGAATGTGAATCAAAATGATTTTGATGCTACTGCATATCAATATTTCCTATGTCCTGAGTTGGTGTTGCTTCCTTCATTTAATAAATGGATAGTTCACCCAAAAATGTCTTTACACATCCCATGTTGTTCCAAACCCATATAACTTTCTTTCTTCCATGGAACACACACACACACGTTTTGAGGAATTTCAAATTTTTCATACTTGCATATAATGAAAATAAATGGGGACTGGAAAGAGATGCTCCTTAAAAGTAGCATAAAAGTGCTCCATGTGATTTGGACATTATTCACATATCGGCTTCCCTCAAATGGCACCACAAAAATGTTTGGTAGGAGTGTTAACTAAAGCAATAACTATTAAAATTGTTTTCATTAATTGAAATAAAATATAAATATTAGAAGAAAACTTAAAAACTTGAAAATGAGAAATGTTGCCTCGGCAGTAACTGAAATAAATTATGCTTAAATTGAAATACAAGCATTACTAAAACTGAAATAAATGTAAATGAAAGTTGAATAGAAATATAAAAAAACTAATAAAAACAAGCATGTGACAATTACTAAAACTAAAAAAAGACTACAAATAAAAGCTCATTCAAAATACTGATAAAAGAATTGTATAGAAATAATACTAAAATATCACTGCTGTATGGCCTTTGAAGTCATGATAACACAAGCTTACTACTTTAAGATTTTTTTTTTTATTGTGCTTTATTTTTGATTTCGACAGCCCCAGTTCCCATTCGCTTTACATGGGAAAGAACAGCCACAATATATTAAAAAAAAATCACCTATTGTGTTCCACTGGAAAAAAAGAAAGGTTTGGAGTGACTTGAAGGCAGATAAATAATGACAATGACCAACTTTACCTTTTTTGGTGAACTATCCCTTTAAAATCTTTGACATCATCAGCACCTGGCAGGCATTTCTGCCATTTACAACCAGACAGTATCACCGTGTTAAAATATGTCAGCTGAAAATATGAATACATAATAACACATTTGGTAGCTTAATGACACCACTCTTTGCACTTTATCTGGCAGCTTCCTGAAATTTTGTTCTTTTCTATCTGTCAGTGACCCACTTTTTCCTGTCACTCCTAATCACACTAAGGCTAAAACCTTAAAAGTTAGCAAACACCTCTGTTCTGTGTCACCACCATTAGGATATCCTTGACAGTGAGGTGTCTCTGATCGAGGCTTTGCGCATGGTAAAGAGCAGAGTGTTCGTCATATGTATGTTGGCGGTGTGCTTTGTGACCGTCAGCAATGTGTGCAGCTCTTATACTGTATACATAGTGTGGTAGTGAGCGTGGGTGCCTTGGTTTCAGGATGTGGTGTCTCATTCCCGGGTCCCTCCCATCTCCGGGGGCTCGCTGCGGGACGTGCTGGGCTCTCTTATACTCTCTATTGTAGGTGGGACCAACCCTCTGCCTGCTTGATCCCACTCCACTCCTTCTCCCTTTCACTCGCGCTGTTTCTCCACTGTTCCCTCCCTCACCATGTCCACCCATAAGTGCTGGTGCTCAGTTTAAAGGCTTTTATTCGTGTAAAGGCCTGCCAATGCTACAGGCATGTGCAAAAACATTTGAGAAATGTCACTTCACAGAGCTTGATGACTCGTTGGGCATCAGTGCTGGACCTCGCTTTGGAGCAATGATGTAGCATCATGGGAATTGAGCAAAATTTATTAAAATGGCCCTTGTGAGAGATGGAGCAAAATTAAGCGGTGATGTTCCTGTGTGTAAGTTATTTATATGATTGTTACAACGACATAGCTATAACAGGAACCACAGTACAACATTTATTTAATGTTTTTAAGATATTCAAAGAGGTAGACACTTGGTGATATTTATAAGGCTTCATTTCCTTAATTTATGTCAATGGTGGTTAGACATTTGTTCATGAAAATGTCCATTAGTCATGAAGGAAGCATTGTTTGATAATTATAATAATGGGCATTTGTCCTGTAATTTAACAACATAAGCTTTTCTTAGTTATAACAAAGGTTCCAGCATCATATAGACATTCCAGCAGCACTAATGCATGACTTTAGGTCATGTGCCACATTGTCCAGATTGACCTTTCAAACCAGTAGCTAGCAAACAAAAAGCCTTTCCATGACATTGCATCACAACATTTAAATATTAAACCAATTTCACAATAACATGGTAGTGCTCACAGCATGACATTAAGGCCTCCTGTAGTGAATGCTCATATTTGACCCTGGACAACAAAACCAGTCATATGGGTCAATTTTTTCGAAATTGAGATCTACACATCATCTGAAAGCTGAATAAATAAGGTTTGTTAGGATAGGACAATATTTGGCCGAGATATAACTATTTGAAAATCTGGATTCTGAGGGTGCAAAAAAATCTAAATACTGAGAAAATTGCCTTTAAAGTTGTCCAAATGAAGTTCTTAGCAATGCATATTACTAATCAAAAATTAAGTTTTGATATATTTATGGTAGGATATACCCCAGCGACTTAAGACTGGTTTTGTGGTCAAGGGTCACATATGTGTAAAAGGTGTTTTGAGACCCCGTCCCCACCCTCTGTGTCTCTCTGATGTTTGTAGGTGGAGGATGAACTGAATTCTCCTGTGGTGGTGTTCAGGTTTTCACAAGACAACAGCACTTGTAAGTTTCCTTTTCTTGGTTGTATGTGTGTGTTTATGTAAACCAGTCAAACATTTTGGTAATTTTTTTTTTGAAAACACTTATTTAGCAAGGTTGTCATCCAAGATGATCATGTCTTTCTTTCTTCAGATGAAATGAAATTACGTTTTTTGAGGAAAACATTCCAGGATTTTTCTCCATATTGTGGACTTCAATGGTGGCCAACGGTTTGAACGTCCAAATTGCAGTTTCAGTGCAGCTTCAAAGGGCTCTACAAGATCCCAGCTGAGGAATAATGGTCTTATCTAGCGAAAAAACTGGTCATTTTCTAAAAAATTAAGTTTATATGCTTTTTAACCACAAATGCTCGTCTTGCACTAGCTCGACCTCACGCATTACGTAATCATGTTGGAAAGGTCACACGTGATGTAGGTGGAAGCACCAACCCAGTGTTTACAAAGCGAACGTGCTAAGAAAGTCAAATGCCCTTTACAAAAAAAGGTAATGTCGGACGATTTGAAGTTGGAGGAGAACCCTAACCACCCTAACTTTTGAACCGGAGTACACAGACGAAGAGCTAACTACGCGTGAAGTTTCACACGTGATTACGTAATGCGTCAAGTAGCATATCGCAGAGCTAGTGCAAGAAGAGAATTTGTGGTTGAAATGTATCTAAATTTTTATTTTTTTAAGAAAGTGACCGATCGTTTAGCTAGATAAGACCCTTATTCCTTGTCTGAGATTGTGTAGAGCCCTTTGAAGCTGCATTGACACACAACCAGCTGGCCACCATTGAAGTCCACTATATGGAGAAAAATCCTGGAATGTTTTCCTTAAAAATCTTAATTTCTTTTCGACTGAAGAAAGAAAGACATGAACATCTTGGATAAATACATAAAAAGCCAGTGTTCAAAACTTCTTACCTTCGCCAGATTCACAATGGAAAGTTTATAATAATGTTTTCTAATTTGAGTGGTACTGGTAGGAGTTCATGGGAAATTCGAGCATGCCGCTGCGTCATTTTGTCATGTCTGTAAACATAAAGAAGTTGTGTAGGCTATCACGAAGCTAGTAGGCTATCATGTGTTGATGCTGCAGGTGGCCGATCATTTATAGCCTTTTCTTACAGCAGCTGGAATAATTAAACTTAACATTTTGATGGCGGATTGTAATCCAAAAAGGTTTGTTTATGGAACACAAGTGACTGAAATTAGATTATATTCCAGTTTTAAATGTGCATCTGATTACAGATAGCCTGTGTGGGATTACACAAGTTTTGTATTTTAAAGAGAACCAGTTCTAAGGAGGAATAATTTGCTTTTTGGGTTTAAAGAATTTATATATGAAATTCGAAATGGTATGACAATTAGAGATTAGACTGTACAGAAACTGAAATCTACATGTAATGCTAATACACACATACATATAGTCATGCAATGCTGATGTTGTTAACATTAATAGTTTGAGAACAAAGTATAACAGTAATAATAATTTGCACGGTTTGATGTGATATGAGCTAAGTGATCGTTAAATTTAATCACCGTTTGTAGCGCAATTCATTGTAATGCTTTTTTTCTCAGTTGGTCAGAACAGAAGTGTCAGGCTTGTTACTTACTCGTTCAGATGACAATATCTGGTGAAAATTCTTATTAAAAGACGTAGGCTAGAATCTGTGATTCCGAAGTACAGTATCCACACCGGTGCAGTGACTGACTGCCACACACACATAGGGTGACCAGATTTCTCATGGTGGGATACGAGACGGGTGGGCAAGGAGTGGGCAATATGACCACGATATATAACAAAGCAGCAAATAAGACAAATACGATAGAGATACAAATTAAATAAACCTGTTTTTCAAATACAGTAGGTTTATTTAAAGGGGTCATCGGATGCCCATTTTCCACAAGTTGATATGATTCTTTAGGGTCTTAATGAAAAGTCTGTAACATAGTTTGGTTAAAATTTCTCAATGGTAGTGTAAAAAACACATTTTTTACCCTGTCAAAAACAGCTCTTTTCAGAGCAAGCCGTTTTGTAGCATTTTCCTTTAAATGTTAATGAGCTCTGCTGACCCCTCCCCTCTCTTCCGAGCTGCTCTCTAAGGGACTGTTTACTTTAACTGCATTCATCATGAAACTTGCTAATTAGCACATTATTAGGAAAGGCGATTTGCAAAGATTCATTAAAAAACCATATACTCACTTCTTCTGGAGGTGAAGCTGGATCACGAATGATTTGCGCGAACATAGACACATTTATTTAGATCGGGGGTGCATTCCCTTCAAAAACAAACGTAATCCACTGCGTCTTCAGCGGCTCAGATGCCGGGAGTAAATGACTACTGCTATGTTCATTATTACATCCAACAACAGAACACCTCAATCGCTTAGCAGTCATTCTTTTCTACATCTGTCGACACAATGGCGGACACAATCCGCCCGGAGCTGCTTCCGTGTACAACTGTTCGCGCAAGCTACATTAAAGTGATTATTACGTTTTAAATATGGTTATTTTTCTTACAAAAACGCATAGATTCGCTACAGGAGGCCTTTGTTCACCCCCCGGAGCCGTGTGAGACACTTTTTTTTTTTATGGATGGGCGCTTTTTATTTCACTTCTTTTGGACTGATGCACTGCAACACCCGCTGACTGCCATTAAACAGCTTGGAAGATCAAAGACAATTTTTAATATAACTCCGACTGGATTCGTCTGAAAGAAGAAAGTCATATACACCTAGGATGACTTGAGGGTGAGCAATTTATGGACTAACTTTCATTTTTGGGTGAACTAACCCTTTAAGCCATAACCGACTGTATTTATGTGAGGTACTCCACATGATGGATATTTTGACAACTGTGTGTGTATTTGACAATTCAGGCGCAAGGAGAACTGATCGCACGCTATCTGAGAGGGATTATGTTGGCGTGTGAGCGCTTCTGTTGTGTGTCCTTCAGTGTGATTCCGCCTGTTCCACCTTCACTTACTGCAAGTTAATCGATAACGAATTGTGATTGCAATGGTGATTTTGTTGTAAGACGAGCTTGACTACCTTTAAATAGGCTGTTCTCGCATGACAGAACACCACTACTACTTGCTCTGATCATCCAGTCTAAAAAAATTTGAAATATGTGACAACATGATTTTTTCAAAATAAGTCGGGACACTAAAAATGGAGCTTAAATATGAGACTGTCCCGGGAAAAACGGGACGTCTGGTCACCCTACACATACACATTAAACATTAGATTCATACGTGCTGAGGAGCCATGCAAGACCCACATTAAGAAAATAACTCCGCAAATACTTGCAATTGCAGGTTTCAAACAGAGATGGCGACAAAGAGGCAAAACTTACAGGCTGCAGCTTTAATGTGGCAGTAAAGACATTTATGTTACAAAAGATTTTGAATAAATGCTGTTCTTTTTTTAACCTTCTATTCATCAATGATTTCTGAAAAAAAGGGTTTCTACAAAAATATTATGCATGTATATACTAAGAGATATTGACTAAAATCCACAAAACTTTCATTTTCAGCCTCAAGTGGTGGCTCAGTAGAAGGCTATCTTGAAGGGGAAAGAGATATCCTTGATGCCCTTAACAGATGGGTAAATGCTTCTCTTACTCACAATGTATTATGAGAAATAAGTAGGCTGAATTGTGAGCGTTTATAATAGAGTGCCGAGATCATTTTCTTACAAATGAGTCACCCGACTGCTTTGATCTGATTTGACAGTTGGGTGAGCAGTTGGCGCAGCAGGTTCCGCTAAGTGGTGTGGATGTGGTTGAGCTGGAAGATGAGGGCTCATGTGTTCGCTTCAGCCCCCTCATGACCGCTGCGGGTAAGACATTTGGGAGACAATTAAAATCGGGAATGCTAACACAATGTTCAGGCCCAAGCCATACTGACTTAAGAACTGGAGGCATACATGATGGAGCTAATTATAAATTTAAGAAATCCTGGGTTATGTGCAAGCTCTAGACATTTGAATAAGCCTATATTAAATAGGTGCAAGGAAGAAATCAGAAGAAATTGGCGAGATAGATTTCTGAATAAATATATAAATAAAGAGAGACAGAGAGGATTGATAAAAATATTTCCGCAAAAATAGGGGCTTGAGTGGACTATTCTCTGTCTTTAGTTCCTTAGTGCGCAAAGATATAAAAGTATCATTGATTTTATGACTTGTCAGTTGTATTGCAGTGGTGACACCCAATTCATGTGAACATGTTTATGCTAACAATGCTGTATATGTGTGTAGCTCTTGGCACTCAGGAGAATGACGTGGCTGCACTGGTGGACAAGCTGGGAGAGATGATCCCAGTGCTGAGCTGCACCCTACGCTTCAGACAGGACTTCAAGGATGAGGTTCTACAACAAGCTTCACTCTTGTACATTGAGGACCAGAGCTGGCCTGGTCTTGGAGGTGTGAGGTGAGACTCTGGAGTCAAACCTGCATCAGTTTACTGCAAATTTTACATTACATTCATGCATTTGATGGATGCTTTTATCCAAAGTGCATTTGAGGTATACACACGTCAGTTTTGTGTTCTTTGGATATCGAAAACGTGACCTATTCTGCCAGCTGAGCTAAAAGGATACAGTGACCCTGATATCCTCTATTCCTCACTCGGAGAAGAAGGAAACTCGCATTGTTGTAAGTTTCCACAGTGTTAAACAGGTTCTTTTTGTTTGTTGTTTGTTGTTCAAAAGGTATGAGGCCAGAACCACAGACCTGGATGAAGACAAGAGACATCACAGTGTGGAGAAGATCAACAGTGACTTGCTTAAGAAGCTGATGGAACTGGATACTGACCTGTACTTCTCTGATGGTAAATTCCTGATGGTCTTATGATTGACAGTTGTAGAATTGGTGTAATTCACATGAACTCAGTGACCCTGTCTTGTGTGCAGGTCCTGAGTTTTGTGAGGAGAAAAACTGCATATTCATTGGTATGGCAACAGAAGACCTGGATGTGGCAGAGTTGGTGGAAACTATAGTATCTATTGGAAGAGACATTGAGGAAAGTGGAAAGGTTTGCACTGACTTTTGCTTTGGACAGGTGTTTAATAATTGAAGCAGAAAATGAAAATCAGAAACATAAGAAGATATAATGCATCTGTGTATGTTTGCGGCTAGTTGTTTGAGAACATGACGGAGGTTGTGAGAAGAGGCATACAGGAAGCTGAGCAGCAGCTTCAGAAAGCAAATGAAGAGAAACTTATGGAAGAGGTGAGTGAATATGTCTAGGTGGACTGCGGGCTCCAAAAGTCTGAGGTCACAAGATCTCATTCAAACCTGTAAAATAAACCAAAGAAACCTTATGGCATAAAGTGGTCGAGAAATATTTAAAGGGGTCATGAACTGCTGTTGTTTTTTATTTTGTACTCTGAGGTACACTTATGTTATCAAGATTTTTACAAGATTTTTTCTTAACCCCCCTCATCAGAACTCTCCGTCTGAATAGCCGTGGTGGATTGTAGACCCGGACGTAAATGCCCACTGCTGTGATCCGCGGTAAAATGAAGTGAACAAAGGACCAAGTTCTTACTGACGCGGTCTGGATCTTCATTAAAAATAAAGTTCATTCACTCTTTCCTAATGTTGGAATCAGAAGGAAGGCAATGTAATGACTGTTTTTCCACAGCGTGGCACTGTAAAGTGTCTTGTTGTCTTCAGAGCATCGTTACCGTTTGGTTTCTGCGTAGACCTGCGTTCGCCTCTCGTTATTCACACTACATGTGCAAATCGGTGGGCGGGGCTAAACAGGCAGCGATGTAGAAGCAGGCGTTGATGATGACTTTTGGTCATTTTGGCAGATTGGCTTCAATCAAAGCTGTTTTTAGACTAACGATAAAGATTTGAGTTCTGAAACTTACAGGATGTTTTTATAGTACAATGACCTCTTATATGTCAAAAGATCAAGGGAATTTTGGTTTCACAGTTCATGACCCCGTCAAGTGTTAGTTTTTTCTTTCACTTGATTTATAGGTCAAATATTTTAATGTGATATTTTGCATGTGACTCATGTGGGATCCTGATCAAGACAAACCAAATACTAAAACATTCAGAAATCAATTTTCCATTTCAACAATGCTGGTTATATAATTGTAATAATTTTCTGATGAAATAATTAAAAATTTTTACTTTTCAGGGTGTACTTCGACAAATCCCTCTGGTGGGCTCTGTGATTAACTGGTTCTCCCCAGTTCAGGCCTCTGTCAAAGGAAAAACTTTCAACCTAGCTGAAGGTATAGATGCTTTAAAGTTTGTAATGCACAAAAATGTCAAATAAATAATCAGTTTAATTGTAGCTTTCAGGTTTTTATAGCATCTATTTTACCTCCATAGGTTGTCTGGACAGCACCGAGCCCGTTTATTCTATAAAAGCCCAGATGAATAAAGAAGCTTCTCTCGATTCCCCCAAGTCCGTCACCAAACGGTTTCCAGGTAACGGTAACATCTTGATCTAAGATCAGTGTGACCCTAATTACACCTAATTACTTTGTGTCCACAACATAATTAAATCACATTTGGTCGTACACTGATGTTTACAGAGCTCTCAGGTTAATCAAACCATGTGATTCACAGGCCAAAAACTCTTCCGGCGGCAGGGAGCGGGCTCAGACTCTGTCAGTGATACCAGCTCTGTCAGCCAGCTTGAAGAATCGTTCAGGGAAACGGCACCCGTGCAGGCCAGTGATGCGGAGGAGGCAGAGGTCCCTCAGGAGCGTCATGTCCACATAGTGGCGGAAACGGCTTCATCAGACCAGCATGTACCAGAGGGACAAGAGACTGACGCCCTTAGATAAGACCACTCCTAAAGGGATGTCCCAGAGGTTGGCTTTGTCTCACGGAGGAATATGCGTCCGTGACCTTGATGCCTTGAGCAAACCACTCTTGAAATTAAGGAAAGAAGCAGCTTTAAATGCAAATAACAAAACACTGGAATTTCATGGAAGTAATGTCTGAATATACGTCCCTTTTTCTTCTCGTAATCAGTTGCACATTTTTAAGGTTTGGTTAATCATATATTACAGGGTCTCCTCACAGTTCTTTATGTGCACTGCCAGTATATCCTTCCATAGTGGGTGACACAGCCGTTACGTTTAGGTTTTGGACGCTTATCTTTGTCATCTATAAGCCTGTCTGACAGGTTTTTCTGATGCATTTCCACACATTATTTCCACAACGAAAGGGCTATTGTGGCCTTACCGTCATGTACATTAACGTCAAAATGTCTTGTTTGCCAAAAGCTGGTCTTGCTTTATGTACTCTCCACAGGCAGACGTGTGAGAAAGAAGGTTGATGCTTGAAGACTCATGCAGCTGTTTCTAATCAAACGATAGCCTTATTGCACTTTTATGTACAGAATGTCACACTTTAATCAGAACAGCAGAATATTTATTTATTCTATAAATAATTCTCTTGGAGGACATTAGGCTATTTAGAGATAAGTAACATTTGCTATATGTCTAAAATAAGTTTATTAAATCAAACAGATATCTGTCCAGCACTTTTGGCTTTACCAATAGTGAAATGATTATCATATACTGTTCTCACTGTGAATAATGTTTCAGAGATGTCTCTTTTCAGTAATCGTTTCATTTTTGGATGTGTATGACGGCTAAATATAATGTACTGAAATGAAGATCTTTATTTGTTGTTTACACCAATGTTAATTGTTTTAGCACATACAAAAAAAAAAGCTTTGCTACTGGGGAAATGTAGTTTCATTTAGCATATGAATATTGTGTGAATTATTCATGAGAAGTAAATTCACTACAGCTAGAACACATCCATCCATGTTTTTGGGGCATAAGGTGCTCTTTTCATAACTGTGCTTCCTTACTGAATAATGTAATTGTAGACCTGCTCATCTTTTCAAAATGATTCAGTCTTAACTGGTGCAATAAATCATTGTTTTTTTCTTTTTCTTTGGGGGAGATAAGTGCTAACTTGAAATGTTGTGTCAAAAGAAAGAATAGAGTGGTTTTTATAATTACAATTTTATTTTACAATGAGCAGTTATGTAAATGACAATAAAAAAAATGGTACTAAAACAAAAATAAGAGCTTGGAGGTTTTTTTTTTCTTCCAAAACTGCCCTGAACTTTTACACAATTTAAGCAGTTGAAAACTGGTGCTTTATCACATCATTAAAAACCTTTAAAGTTAAGCTTCAAATACATTTTAAAAGCAAATTTAAACACTTCAAAAACATTTTTAGTTATACATGTTTTATAGTTGCGGTGAACGGAAATAGGCCAGTAGTTTTAAAAGAGGTCAGCAAACGATCGGGTTTATCCATAATGCGGAAATGTAGTTTATTATCTAAAGATCCTAATACAGGGAGAACAGGTTTTGCATTCAGTATTCCATCCTTAAACATTTCTGTTAATAGGAGAACATCAGATCATTTATCAGTATACACAGTAGAGATGATGGCAATAGCAACAGCACTACAGTGGATAGAGGAGACTCAAATCAAAAAGGTTATACTTTGTACAGATTCATGTTCGGCATTAAAGTCATTGCAATCATTCACATCTCATAGTAGACAGGATATAGTAAATGAGATATATGAAAATCTGTATAGATTTAAGAATATGAACATCATGATATCTATGTGGATACTAGATAATATCTATGTGGATACCAGCTCATAGGGGGATAAAGGGTAATGAAAAGGTTGATGGATTAGCAAAACAGGCGTTGGAAAACGAGGATATCATGAATATCTCACTTAGTAAATATGAAGCAAAAGCAGTAATTAAAGCATATACCACTAAGGAGTGGCAACATAAATGGGATACAGGAAATACAGGACGTCAACTTTATGAAATACAGCGAGAAGTAGAAGTCGTGAGAATAACTAAAAGAAGCACCAAAGAAGAAAATATTCTAACAAGATTAAGGGTTGGGCATACTATGCTGAATAAAACCTTAAAAATAATAAATAAACATCCAAATTATTATTTTTATTATTTATTTATTTTGTTAATTTAGTAATTTATTTTTATTTATTTATTTTAAATATAAAATAAATATATATTTTTGTCCTCTTATTATGAAAGGGTATACTCTGGTTCACACTCCAATACAGTAGGTGGCGATAATGCAGCTTAACATTGGTGCTACACGCCATAAAACCGAAGAAGAAGAATAAGAAGGAGCGAGTATAGTGGAAATGGAAGTTGTATGATGGAAACGGAAGGCAGGTTAGGCGCGATCAATGTTACGCTCAGGACAGGTCCTTTTTCCACTTATGTGACAATTTAGGAAGTGAATAAGTGAGGATTCCGGTTAGGGTCTCCGATATCTTCATATTATTTTCCAAAGTTCAAGATATGGACTTTATTTCTTTTTTTCTTTTCTTTTTGTTTTTCCTAGCAATATCTGGCAACGTTTATTTATTTATTTTAAATATAAAATAAATATATATTTTTGTCCTCTTATTATGAAAGGGTAAACTCTGGTTCACACTCCAATACAGTAGGTGGCGATAATGCACCTTAACATTGGTGCTACCCGCCATAAAACCGAAGAAGAAGAAGTAGTAGTTTATTATCGACACCGCTCAGGCGCCTTTCGCTTTCTTTCAGAGGCAAACCCACTACATTTCCCAGAACCCCGTTCGCTGTTGCTCCGCGAGGTCAGGGGAGTCGTCAGCACACACGAGGAGAACTCATTCCGAGCGCTTAGTCAAACCTCCCTTTTCTCTCGCCCCTCGTTGAGAGACACCGGCTGTTTGATTTCAACCAAACGGGGGGAAGGCCACAGTCCGCTAACAAAGTTTTCACGACGCACGGGGTGACCTTAACAGCGGCTAAGGCCGGACACGAAAGTGATCAAGTCCGTGGCTTTAAAGCGGGTGTGTGTGGAGCAGCTGTGTGGCGATGGACGCGATAGACACTGCCCCTGATTCCTGGGATCAGGAGGACGATGGCGAGGCCCAGGTCGACGAGCAACTTTCCAAGGCTTTTATTGCCAGCCTAAACGTGGACGCCAAGCCGTTTGTCCCCAACGTGCACGCCGCGGAATTCATCCCGACCTTCCAACAGAAGAGCTCCACGGAAACGGTGGAGTCAGCGGGTGAGTTCCCGGTTATTTAACGAGTGTTAGCCGCGTTAGCTGTTAGCCGCACACACGCTTGTTCGCATGAGCTTAGCATGGATGCTAACGTAACGTTACACCAGAGTTGCCGTCAACGGCTCGAAGCGGAAACGGGGCCAACGTGTAATTTGCGATTTAACAAGCTGAAAAACTTTCTTGACGTGAATAAGAAGTGTTCATTAACACCGTAACAGTTGCTCGTGCTAGAAAGTGATTCAATTTGGTGGAGACTTTGTGTGTAGGTGCTTGTAAAACAATTTTAGACTAATAACAATATATAACTGGATGGTGATAAAGAATTAAAAGTGTATTCGGTTAATTTGTTGGTTAATTGGACAACTTTAGACATGTTATCGCCTTTTTATTAACGCACGTGAACTTGCTCAAAGGTGCTCGCGTTTGTTTGCATGACAATATCATCAATACTGATGATCAGAGGCCTGGCGCTTCATAAACAACCATTTTCCCCTTGCTTGACTGCTTTGTTTGAGGGGCCTCTTTTGGCTGATTGTTTAAGGGTGGGGTTTGGCCCCCATGCTGTCTTACTGCAAACGTGATGTACCATTATGTGTTGAGCTGTTATAGTGTAACAATGAAAGACAGTTGTTGGCCTGATCCGCTTAAATCACGACGCTAGAAAACTGGACATGTTCACCATCATCTGTTCACATGCAGAAGTACTTACCACCACAGTTTGGCTATTGTCAAGGCAGCTAAATGTTTTCACTACAGCACAGTTTCTAAACTCTTGCCTGAAGCCTTTGTGTCAGCTGTTGTATTTGAATACATTGTGTTTATAAGGTACACACTGGAGGTCTTCTGAGAAAGATCAATGTAGCGTGTAATGGAGGTAAACGCTGTGATGTGATCTGATCTGCTTATTAAACTTTTCCAAGCTCATTTGAGTTTAAAAAAAAACTCTAAAGAGAGTTAGTTTTTAACACAGCAATGTATGGTACTCAGCCTATGTATTTATTTCGATAAGTGATCATGTTACAAAAAGCATGGGAGTTTGTTGGAGGACCTTTTAACTGTTTTTGCCTTACCACAAGTGGAAGATATGCCATTCACTTACTACAATTACACAGTGCAGATTGTTGTCTGTAAATGTGTTGAATGTTGTCATGCAATTTCCCTTTTAAGACTATTATTCTTAGTAACTTGACTGTCCTGTGTAATTACAGCTGTAAAAAGAGGCATTTTATATTCCTGCAGGTCCCGATGCAGATGCCAATGTGGAAGTGTCAGAGCCTGAGGGTAAGTAAATGCTGAGACACACAACCACAGTTTGCTTCACATCCCTGTAATAATGATAATAAACATACAGATGAGTCTGTGGCTAGTAACTTGTGCTTGCTCACATTCCAGTTTCCAACGATCTAACACAAGTCCTGTTCACACCGAGATGGATGTTTTGTGTGAATAATTCAATGTGATAAACATTTTAATTTGAATTAACATGTTAATGCTTCTGTTTAAGCAGAACTTGAACAGAAGAACGTGTTAAAAAAAAACCTGTTCAACCAATACAAACCGTGCTCTTGGTCATAAGCTCAGCTGCCGCTGTTACATAAAACCATGACTTGGTGGCACTCATGAGCCGAGTATTTAGCCAAATTATGGTGTATTTAGGTGAAGTTCGATAAATGCCATAGTGAAGGGAAAAATCTGAACAGCTGTTTGAAACATAAATATTGTTTAATATTCTTCTCAGTGAGAAGCTGGTATCAGAAATGGAAAGTTGCATAGTGATTTGTGAACTGGGGTGTTTTTTATGGCGCTTTTCCACTGCATGGTACGGCTCGGTACGGTTCACTTTTTTGGGGTTTTCCACTGGGTACAGTACCTGGTAGGGATGCACCGATACCACTTTTTCCAGTACTCGCCAGATACCGATACTTTTATTTTTGATACTTGCCGATACCGAGTACCGATACCGATATTTTTATTGCATTTGTACATTTTTTAAATAGTGGGTACAGAAACCAAAAGAGTATGTATAATGTTAGTTGGTTAACTTAATTTATCAAATAGATATAGTCAAACCAAAATTTATTCAGACACCTTCAACATTTCTCACATTATCACAGTTTATTTGCTATAGTTTAGAAAATGGTAATAAAATATGACAAGAACTCAGAGTTAAACTGTGTCAGAACAAATTCATCTTGATAATGTTAGATAATTTTGATAGAAAGGCATGTAATAGATTACAATCAACCAAAAATAATTCCGACAGCTATTAGTATGACAGTATTATTTACACAACTATGAATACTTTGTCGGGCAGGGCATTTTAACGAGTACGAGTACAGGATGCCAGTATCGGGCCCGATACCAGTATCGGTGCATCCCTAGTACCTGGTACTTTTTTTAGTACCACCTCGGTTGGGGTTCCAAGTGAACCGTACCGTTACCAAAACGTGACGTGTAAACTCCACTGATCACGTATTGGCCGGAGAGAATCGTCGCTACCTGCGTCACTGAACTTGCGACACAAACACAAAAGAACCGCTAGATTCTTTAGCACAGCCAGCGAAGGATCGAACGCAACTGTTTTGAATGTGCGCACCTTTTTTTAACAACCAAAAAGTTTTGTTGTCTGTTGCGGAAAAACAGATGTTCCTCTCGTTGATAGCAGAGGAGCGGATCCAGCGAGAGCTTGATGGGGCGACGCGGAATGAAAAGTCGTACCACGCAGTGGAAAAGCGCCATTAGTTTCTACTCCAGCGCCACCAACTGTCAGAGAGTAAATTTGCATTTTCATTCTGCCTGTTTGCCCATTTTTACGCATTATATTGCATTTTCATGTCGGTGAGAACAGACCTTCACCTTACTAATAGACACAAGGATTCATTATTATAAAAGAAGAGCCATTTTGTTTGTTAAACTTTGTAGTTAAAATGTTAAATGTTCTAGTGGTTTGTTGCTTTTATATTTTTTTTGATTGTGTTTTCATGTCATCTTGATTGTGCCTTTTGTTGTGGTTCAAAATAGCCTTTAGGCACAATTATGTTGACACCAAACACAGCAGTATTAATCAGAAAGGAAACGACTGTTATTGACACAAGACCAACAGTAATTGGATAAACAGTGTAAAATGATCATGTTGCCTTTGACATCAGCTCCGCCCATGGAGAACGGTGATGCAGAGATGGCAACAGATGACACCTGGGAGCAGAAAGGGAGTGAGCCTAGCAAAGCTGAGGCAGAGCCAGGAGGCAGCCCTGGAGGAGACCGGGGTCAGGCTGATGAAGACTCCCCTCAAGAGGAAGGAATGGAAGAGGAAGAAGTAGTGCCAACACCTAAAGTAGTCCCCACACAGCCAAATGCCCCCAAGAAGGAACATGTTAACGTGGTCTTCATTGGCCATGTCGGTTAGTGTTTGCTTGCTGCATTTACATTATATATTTGATGCCAGTGTCCTGTTTAAACTCCTCAAGGACTGTTTACTTTTGGGTTGATTCTCATGAAAATATTTTTAATGTTTAGGCCAGATTTAGTTTTAGATTTAGATACTTTAAATAAATAAATATATGTTAGTTTATTGACTTTATATTATTCACTTGTTTTGGATTCCTTAATATATAGCTGAGGTTGTTGGCATTATGCTGAATTATAATATATATCTTGGCAAGATCTTCATGCCATTTCTTTAAAGTTTTGGTGTTTTAATTTTTTATCTTTAGCTTTCATTTCAGTTTCTCAAAATAAGCAGTTCCAGTAACGTCAGTTTCATTCATCTCATTTTTTTGTACTTGGCTCTAATTTGCTTGGATTTGTTATATAACCACTTTAATATTAATCAGTTACAGACCTGCCAACCTGTACGCAGTTTGCGTAGCGGCTACGCATTTTGACCTCAAAGTATGCTGGTACGATTTGTCACTCTGAACTACGCAAAAATCTATTGACGCCTCTGTCCACGCGCAGTATTCAAAACAAGCAACAGAAAAAGATGAAGAGTTCAACCAATCAGAGCGTTTTTTTTGGGGGGGTTTTGCATTTAAATGAGCGTTTTTTTTTGGGGGGGTTTTGCATTTAAATAATTTCTTTGTTTTATTTCTCTCCTAGTAGCCTATAGTTTATAGTTTCAGTTCAAAGCGGTTCACGCTCTCCCCGTCAGATGCTCTGACAGCAAGGCTGCGTGTGAGGCTGACAGAGACGCGCGCTGTTTAATGTGTTTGAGATGTGCTGTTTTCCTTAATGCATAACTTACATTTCACAGGTATATTCTCCATCTGTAAATGTTAAAAAAGCCATGGAAATATTTCCATTTTGTTGTCAGAAGTGCATGAGCTTTTGCTTTGCGATTCTCCGCTAAACTCCACAGACTTCATTTAGAACGAGCGCCGCCGCGCGCATGCGCACCAAACAGACAGAGCTCAATGAAATAGGAGCGCAAGAACTCTGACTAAAATATACATTTTGCTGAAATATTTGTAGTTGGACAATAAATGTGACATATGTAGAATTTTAAACCTACAAGTAAGTGTACTTGTATGATAGCACTAACTAACAGCCCTCTAAGAACACCTTGGCAATTGAATCACCATTGGCTAGTAAATTTTGTTAGTTTACTTGCCAGACTGATAAATATAGAGAAGTGTACAGGACAGAAGTGTACTGGAGTTTTAATTAAAGTGTACTGGAGTTTTTTTTTTTTCTTTTTTAAATAGCATTAAAAAAAACTAAATAGCAAAAATGAACTAAACAGTTACGAAAAACTAAACTGTTTACCACCACTCCACAAAACCAACCCCCATCCCCGCCCACGCCCACCACGCTGATGGTACTATTAAAAATGTCCACGGTTGGCAGGTCAGCAGTTACCATCAAGGCATCTCAGTTCATAACATATCTCAAGAGCATCATGGGGAACACTTTTAAAATGTCTTTAGAGAACAGAATTTTACCGTATTTATCTGTCTTGGCCTCACCCTGTCTCTCTCTAATCTCATTTTCCTCCAGATGCTGGCAAGTCAACTATTGGAGGACAAATCATGTGAGTTGTTGATTTTGCTGCAGTGTTTTTTAGCAGATATTGTTGGTTTTTCCGTCCCACGTTTCTGATAACTTATATTCTGCCCCTCCTCCACAGGTATTTAACAGGAATGGTGGATAAACGAACTCTGGAGAAGTATGAGAGAGAAGCCAAGGAGAAGAACAGGGAAACTTGGTAATTAGCTTAGTTAATACGTTTATTTACCAGAACATCTGGTGGGCAGTCAAACAGATTCCCTCCAAATACAGCTTAAGCTCATAACATTTCAGTACTTTTTTTTTTTTTGCCTAAGGTGGAGCAGTTTTTCATAGTTAATGGTTTTTCTCAGGTACCTCTCTTGGGCCCTTGACACAAACCAGGAGGAAAGAGACAAAGGAAAGACTGTGGAAGTCGGACGTGCATACTTTGAGACCGAGGAAAAGCACTTTACCATTCTGGATGCACCAGGCCACAAAAGCTTTGTGCCCAACATGATTGGTGGAGCTTCACAGGCTGATTTGGCAGTGCTGGTGAGTCATAGCATTGAGTAGGCACTCAAAAAGAGCAGTGAGTAGCATGAGCTGTGAGCAGGTTGAATGTGTTGATGACACAGTAGAGGGCGCTATTTGTCTATCTCAAAAGGCTTGACTTTCACTCGCAGACCAGAAACTACTGCCTGTTCATTCTTTTCAGTCTCTGAATTCATTTCTATCCGAAGGTAATCTCTGCAAGGAAAGGAGAGTTTGAAACGGGCTTTGAGAAAGGAGGCCAGACGCGGGAGCATGCCATGTTGGCCAAAACTGCTGGAGTCAAGCATTTGATTGTACTTGTAAACAAAATGGATGATCCAACAGTGAACTGGAGTCTGGAGAGGTCAGAAGAGGGATATTTATATACAGAGACTGTTGTTAGTGTATTTTATTTGGTTTTATGAAAAAAATGGTATTTAGTGTTAATATTTTTATACTGTTTGCACACAGGTACGAAGAATGTAAGGAGAAACTTGTTCCGTTTTTAAAGAAAGTCGGGTTCAACCCCAGGAAAGATGTTCATTTCATGCCATGTTCGGGACTTACTGGGGCCAATCTAAAGGAGCCAGCGGAGTACTGCCCTTGGTATATGTAAGTGTGTGGATTTGCGGTTATTCAGTTTTTGTTTGAATGCTTTTTGACAAGTATAAAAAAAATCACTGGCTTTCAACCTTTTTGACACCAAGCCATCCCTTCTAAGCTGAAACATGCCTCTGTTGCTTCTGTAATAAGAATTAATAAGCTCAAAAATATGATGTCAGTTTATTATTATACTTTCTCCTATGTGATATTTAAATTTAGTTTTATTACCATAGGCTTTATGGTACTTACTGCGGCCCCCCTAGAACTTGGCTGAGATGTCCTGATTGTCCGGGGTTGAGAACCACTGCTTTAAATATCATAAAAGTACATGAATAATGTGTATCACTATTGTGTATTATGGACAGAGGGTTACCATTCATTCCACATCTGGACAGTTTGCCAAACTTCAGCAGATCAAGTGATGGACCAGTCAGGTTACCCATAGTAGACAAATATAAGGTATGTAGAGTGGAGAGGAGGTGGGGAAAAAAATAAAATAAAAAAAAATATATATATATATATATATATTGGGGATGTCAACAATTAATCGATGATCGGTTAATTGTCGATAAGAGATACAATCGATTAAAGCTATCGATGGTCGATTAAGCAGTTTAATTTTGGGCTGCGTGCGGCTCATGCGCAAAACACGTGCGAGCGGCTGTGAGTGACGGTGACGGTATAT